AACTGCCTCAGGATATCTGGTAGCATAATCTATAATAACTAAAATGTGGGTGTGGCCCCCTGCCGACTTGAGGAGGGGTCCCACGATGTCAACTCCTATCCTTTGGAAGGGTTGATCTACAAGGGGCATGGGTATCAAGGGAGCTCCTGGTTTGGGTTTGACTTGAGTCTTTTGGCACTCTGGACAGGATTGGCAATAGTTTTCTATTTCTTTCTCCAATCCCGGCCACCAGACCCTTTGTTCAATCCTAGGCTTCATCTTATCATATGCCAAATGTCCCGCCATAGGAATATCATGGGCTAAGTGCAAGATCGCCATACGCCATTTCTGGGGAACAACCAACCGCTTTTCCCCCCTCTCTGTCACACTATATAGTAACCCGTTGTCCAAAACCATCCCCTTTTCTCCCCCTACTACATCTCCCACCTCACGCGCAGCTCGCAGGTGTTCTTGCAGCGTGGCGTCATCTTGTTGCAGCATACGCATGTGATCGCGCGTGGTCTCCTGTAAGAAATCATCTCCCACTTCAATTTTAACGCAATCTCCTTGCATCACTTCTTTACACTCTGCCAACGTTCTATCTCCCACCCAGTCTCTTCCCAATAACATTTCTCTTGAGAGTACCGGAACAATCCCTACTTTCATTTTCCGTTTCTCATCTCCAACTTTGACTTCGGCCCAGGTCGTCTTATAAGTCTTAGAGTCTCCATGTATACATTTCACAGTAAACCCTTCTTCCACCCCTTCCAATTTTATGTCCCGCACCAATGTTCTGCCGCATCCTGTATCAATTAGCGCCTGTTTCTTCTCCCCGTTCACCCATGCAACCACCTCCCAACCTGCTTGTTTCCCTTGTTTCTCTTGATTATTATTCGGTCCTCCTACCCAAGAGCAGTCCGTCCCAGGACAATCCCGGCGCACGTGGCCTGGGGTCCCGCAGCCGAAACACACAAGCCCCCCAAACACACGGTCATCCACTGTAACCGGTCGCACCGGCTTCGGCCCCATAGGCTCGAAGGGACGTCCGCGGGAG